GTGGGTGTCCCCCCCCCCCCCTCCCTTCTTAAATACATTATCCCAGAGGTGCTACCACCGTCACTGATGGGCTCAGCCTTGGCCAGCAGTGGGTCCGTCTTGGAGCCGGCTGGCATTGGCCCTGTTGGACACAGGGGAAGCTTCTAGCAGCTTCTCACAGAAGCCACCGCTGTAGCCACCTGCTGCCAAAACCTTGCCACACAAACCTGTCGTGGTTTAACCCCAGCCAGCAACTAAGCACCACGCAGCCGCTCACTCAGCCCCCCCCCATCCAATGGGATGGGGGAGAAAATTGGGACAAAAAAGTAAAACTCGTGGGTTGAGATAAGAACGGTTTAATAGAACAGAGAAGAAGAAACTAATAATGATAATGATAACACTAATAAAATGACAACAGTAGTAATAAAAGGATTGGAATGTACAAATGATGCGCAGGGCAATTGCTCACCATCCGCTGACCGACACCCAGCCAGTCCCCGAGCAGCGAATCCCTGCCCCCACTTCCCAGTTCCTATACTAAATGGGATGTCCCATGGTATGGAATACACCGTTGGCCATTTTGGGTCAGGTGCCCTGGCTGTGTCCTGTGCCAACTTCTTGTGCCCCTCCAGCTTTCTCGCTGGCTGGGCATGAGAAGCTGAAAAATCCTTGACTGTAGTCTAAACACTACTGAGCAACAACTGAAAACATCAGTGTTATCAACATTCTTCACATACTGAACTCAAAACATAGCACTGTACCAGCTACTAGGAAGACAGTTAACTCTATCCCAGCTGAAACCAGGACAAAACCCAATACAGAGCAACAGAGATTCTGAAGCTAGCTAATGATTTTGCACAATACAGGCCATACACTGTGATAAGAGAAGTGAGATGCCCTGATGTGCTTGAACTTCTGGGATTTTCCTTTAGTACCCCAGCTAGTTGCCAGCTGGAATTTTCTCGCTCTCTCCCTTCCTTCTCTGCCTATGAAGTGGAAATGTCCCTCAAGCAGAAAGTGTTCTGGAGAGAACAATTTTGTAAAGTAATTTTTAAATCTGTTGAGTCCTGTCACTTTGTGCTGTTGGTTCAGCCTGTGCTCCCATGGCAAAACCACACAGCCAGAGGCAAAATGTAGAGAGAGCTGGGAAGGAAGGTTTCTAACGTGACAATCAGAAGAGTGTTCTGAAAGCTCATGACAAGACTCAGCTGTGAGGAAAGTTAAAAACTTTGGTTGTGATGCTTTTAAAGCACTCATTGTGGTACGTCTGTGAAAGGATCAGTGATTCCAGTAGTTTGAGATCTAAAAGTACCTTCTAGTGTAGCATATTCTTTGACTGTATCTTTACAAGGGCGGTATTTTTGTGGGACTGAGCACATTTTAAAATTACTAATGTAGTTATAATAGCAGCTATATATAACCTAATTTTATTTTGATAATGGAGTTCCCAAATCATGTCCGTTTTCTGTTGCTATGTGGAAGGTGAATTGAGAGAGCTTGGAGCATAGCTGTGAAATTACACTTTTATGAACTAGCAGGTATTTATTGCATTGTACTAGCAAGGTCCTTTTTTCTGTTCAACTCTCTTGTATTTGTACTGTTCATTCTGCATTAAAAAAAATCCCAGTGTATTGTTTGTCACCAAGATGAGGAGTTTTCAGCCTATTCACCTTTGGGAATGCGTTACACTCTTTCTAAAGCACCTTGCAATGGGTGAGTAAGAAAACCAAGTTCCTGTCTGCTTTATCCAGCACTTTGCATATGTGAAGTAGCTGAAAGACTGTGCATTTCCAGAAATTGAGAAGTTAATGGGTTAAGAGGCTGACAAGACATTTCTAATTTGATATAACCTGAGATTGAAAAACAAGCTATGCTTATGAAAAATGCCTCAAATATGTCATAACCTTCCAGGTATATCACCCATCAAGGAAGCAATTGCTGAGATATATTAAGAATCTTTTCAGTCAGTATCTCCATGAAAAGTAGTCAATGTTTTTTGAATAAAGTAGTATGGGATAAATTCCCTAGAAAATAAGTCCTGTGGATTATTCTTGGTCTGTTTTTCCTAAACACCATAAATGCAGGTGGGAGGCTACAGGCCACATGCACAGAGGTTGTATGCTCAGATTAAGTATTCAGGCTAGAGCTACTGCTAATGTTTAGCTCCCAACATCCGGGGAAATGAGGCTGAACCTGGGCACTTCGCCCTCATGCTGGAGGCACAGTGGGTTTATTGTCAGGTTCGCTGTCACATGGAAGGTTATATTGCTTCCAGATCCTGATGGGCCATGGAAGGAGCAGGAGGGAGTGCAAACTGCATTGCGTATAGATTTAAAAACTTTGCCTGACCTGAGCTGCTTTTGCAAAAAGTCACCTTGGCTGCCTCTGTGTCCACAGCAAAGTTCAGTTGTAGGCTGGATAAACTGCCCAAGAACCACTTTTAGCTAAGTGCATGGGATTCATTGTTAGTGGATTGATACACAGTTATAACCTGGAGACCAGTTATAACCTGGAGGCCACCTTGCCCAGGGGCTGGCTACAGAAAAGCAGCACCTGGATTTCTGCCAGAAAAAAACTTTCCACCATAGAGCCACCGCAAAGGAGTTGGGATTATTTGTCCTGTGTATCAGCCACTATGCAAATGAAGCCGAGCACAGGTATCAAGGGCTTTGAAAAGCCAGATAAAGCCAAGAGTATGTGTGTGGAGAGATTATTGTAGGTCCTGGTAACTCTTCCTTTCTGTTTTTTGTTTGGTTTGAGATTGCCATGTTTTAAGGGAAGGCGCAGTAGCAAAATACACGTTCTCTGCTTCATCTCTGACAGATTCCTCCTCAGTTCCAGATATTCCCCACCTTTGAGAAACACATAGAAAAATAGAAAAAATTAAATATCTGTAATATATATAATAAATATATCACACACATGTATAATCTCTAAAACTTAAATATGTTGTAAATCCCCGAATTATACATGAAAGAGAGAAATAATTTTTTGGTACTTTACTTCCAGCTTCATTTTAAGTTACAAGAGTCACTTATCAACAACTAGTTATCATTGGTATTTACACGAAAATGCTGCACGTGATGTCTACATTTAAAAGACCTTCAGAAAAGGACCTGTTCTAATATGGATTAAAAAACATGGGTTGACAAAACTGCAGTTACTCTAAACTACAATGAGATGTGCAAATCATATTAGGACTTAGCATTACTAGTAATTTTAATAATAATGGCTTTACTGATAATTTTGTGGATCACGATAATCTGTTGTGTCTGATAGACTCCAATAGTGAATCCTGTGATAATATTTCTGCAGGGGAACGGCGGTAGTTTTAGGTCATCAGAGGCACCTTCTTCCAACAGATTTAACGTTGGCTACGCAGATTCTGTCACCGGCAGTCGCTGCCTTTTTTGCCCCCTGGGGACAGCCTCAGTTTTTGTCCTCCTGGAAGCCGGCCAACGCTGGCCCTTTGCTGGCCCCCGGTATTTCCTACAGCACTGCCTTTCGGCCAGCTTTGTCTTACTGGTCTCCTCTCCTTAAAGCCAAGTTTCTGGTCCTGCCCTGACTCAGGCCATGCTTCTCCCAGGGACATTTTGGCGATGCCAAGCCAGGATCGGCTTCGCCGGTAACATCCGTGCTGGTATTTCTTCTGTAACACAGCCTGGGCTTGAAGCTGTGAGCAGAGAGCAGCACTTTCCTAATAACTGCAAACAGAAACCTTAAACAACCTCTCAAAGGTATTTTATGAAGCAATTAGTTTTTAGAAGAGAGCTATTGAGCTCTGACTCCATGTTGTTTCCCACATGGCCGACTTGTATTTTACCAGCTTCAAGTTGGCAGGCTGAGCGCTGTTTGCACCCACCTGTGGAAATGTGCCCAGGAGTCACCAGCGCTTTAGAGAGCTTCATAGATAACAAAAATTTCTGACACATATGAAGTAAAAAAACTGGAAGAGAACTGCTTCTGAGCTAAAGCTACCTATTTAAAGAAAAAAAGTCATAAGTGCTGTGAAAAACTGAACAAGGACTTAAAGGCAAAGTGAAAACCTTCACATAGGCTTAAGAAATACTCTGGGCTAATGACTGTTTTCCTAAATAGACTAATGACTAAAATTTCTCCAGCTGGTGAGATGTGATTTGATTCAGTATGGAAATGTGCTTTGCTGTGTGAGGGATTGCTGGAGCAAGAAATGGGATAACGCTCTCTGTCTGCCTTTGTGATGGGCAGAGCAGAGGTCGAGGGACTGGGGGAGTCCCTCTCGTTAGGGAGGTGGCTACATGTCACTGAAGGACAAGGGACACGACCACTGTACTGGAGAGCCAGCCTGTTGTTTATCTACATTAGTTTCTGCAATGAGCTGAAGTGAATTTCTTCCTGCCCTTGGTTGCAGACCAGCTGTACAGGTACCTTGGCAGTCTCTGTGACCAGGGTGGATGATCCAGAGAGCCAGGGTCATCATATCTCTTTCCACTATGTAACACATTTTTCTCACAGATAAGAAGAAAAACCACACAAGTGTATCAAATATCCACATAGCAGCACTGAGCAGTACAACTGCTGGATAAAACTTTCTTTCATTGCAGAATTTAGGCAGAGCAAGCCTGATCTTTTTGACCTCATAAATAAAAGGGTTTTCCTTTGGCTTGTCCCAAAGCTGCCGTGATCTGCACACCTCAGTTAAAATCCTCGGACGTGGGGCTGAGGTGCCCGTGATCCAGGTGAGCTCTGGCTCCGGCTTTAGGACGGGGGAGCGAGGTGTGCGGTGCAGAGCTGTGCCGGAATGGTCAGGCTACAGGCAGAGCCGGCCGCTGCTGGGTGAGATGGGCGCAAGAAACGACTTGAGCACACAAGCAGAAAACTACCCGATGTGAAAAGGTACAAAACCCTAAAGGAAATCTGGTGCTGGAGGGCAAGAGTTTGGTACCGCTGGGGACCTGTTGTAGGGAGCAGCAGGGTGGACCCTTGGCCACCTGACTGATGCCTGCGGGGGCTATTTGGGTGTCTGCCCCAGGAGTGCCGAGCGTGCTCGTGCTCAACCGCATGGCCTCTTGGGCTTTGTTGACTTTTATCTGTGTTAACTTCAAAACAACAGGTTGATGCTTTCAGGTTGAGCATATTCTGCATGCAGGGTCTGCACAACCTGCCCCGGGTCACTGGGCATTTGAGACGCTGCCTGTTGAAACATGGTGTTACCCTGTGGCTGGTTTTGCCTGTAACAGGCAAAGAAATGACAGGTAAGGAAAAGTTCATTAATGGCTGGATAAAGAATAAATGCTTACCACTCATATCTTCAAAATGAGTTCTTGCAAAATTTTGGGCAGGGTTCTGAAACCAGGTAGCACGCCAGCTCCTTCTGACAGGACACAGGAGCCTCCAGGCTGGGGCCAAACCCACTGTGCATAAAAATGAGAGGGTTTGGATTTTCCAGAATAGGCTGCTTTTCCTACTGAGCTTTGTAAAACTGTTTTTTTCAGTTTATGCAGAAGAAGGTTTTTAGTTGTGAACTGTAAAAAAATCTCATGTAGGATGACAGCATGCAAACAGAAAAGGCCACAAAGTAACAGTGACACAGCGTCAACGGACAAGACACCCAAAGCTGTTTGGCTTCTGAGAAGTGGGTAGGTGTAGAAAATGCCACAGTGGCTGCTCCAGGAAACAAGTGTACCATAGTGTGCCATTAATGATCATCAGTCTTGCAGGTTAAGTAGTTCTGATTTTGAAGAGTCACGCAGAACTAACATGGCTCTTGAAAAGACAAGGCTTTATTTATTCCCGTCTCCCTCTCAGGCAGGGGGAACCCTTCCCTAAAAGGACAGTTTTGTCCCTGTGGTTCTTGACAAATCACACTGTGGAAATGTCAAAATGCTTCCAAAAGTTTTTCCTTAACAGTCAAATGGGGATATAATCCACTGTCTACCTGACTATTTTAAATATACCAAAAAAATTGGATCAGAATATTCTAAATGTGTTGTACAATCTGGTGGTTTGACCTTTGACAAGATACTGTCATTGTCACATCCTAGGGTTACTAATATTAATCCTGAGAAATGCAGGGGGGATTATAAATGAACAGAAAATAAGATGGGACATTAATTTTAAGTTACTATCCCGCTTAAAATATTGTGTAATACAGCAAATTATACTATAGATAAGCCATCATTCAATCTTGGAAGCTGAATGTCAAAGTGAAATATTCTCTGTAGGTATGAAGTTCTTAGAACAGATGAAGAAACCCTAATGAAAACTTAAATTTGTCTTCAATGAAGATGTTAATTCACATCCTCACTGGGCTGATACATTCCTAAACTGAGGCTGAAAAGTTTGTAAAATGAATTTTCTGATACTAGAAATTACTTTTGTATGGTAAGGACCGACTGTGGAGTTGCAGAATGATGAAGATGGGAGTGATGGACCGCTGAGAAAAAAATTTGCGTATGATAGTATATGAATTGAGTGAACACTCATTGTTGAGTGCTTGGCAGCAAAAGCCACAGGGGGCCTTGAGATCAGCCAGAATCCCTATGGCGCAGGGATTTTGGTGGTGAGTTTGGCCACAAGCACCAGGCAACTGCGGTGTCCCCATACACAGGCATTCAGGACAGTGAGACGCGTGCCGCTGCCTCTCAGCTCGTGAGGACAAGCCATAGGCTGTCATGGGGCAGTGGAGGGTGTGTATATAATATGGGTGCCCGGTGCTGTGGGGATGAAGCAGTATTGGGAATTTTTTTAACAACGATCCCTCCTGTGGACAGATCTGTGCTTCCTCCTGAGACAAACAGCTTTGTGGCTCCTTCTGGTGAAGTGTTCAGGAGCAGGCAGGTGAGATGAGAAATGGTTCTTGGGGTGTGTGCAAATTCCCCAAATACCACTTTTCTTGCAGAAAAGTAGAGCCTGTGGGGTATACAAAAACCTGCAACCTCAGTCAATGCAGTATGAGTCACTGGCATGATGAGCTCACTCAACAAACTCATGTGAGGAGCCGACAATCAATTTCTAAATTCTTTGGAGAGAGAGATAAAGGCAAAACCCCTGCCTTCTCTTGCTTATTATAGCACTTCTGCCCATATTTTCCTTGTCTGCAGCCAGTCAGCAGGCAGGAGGGAGGGGCAAAGCCTATTTAATAAGTTTTGCAAGGGGCTGCAGCCTGTCCTTGCCTGCGGTGGCTGGGAGGGGACTGTGCACGGCCACCTACCTGGAGCTGCCCACCCGCGTGAGAATGCTCATCGTGGGACTGGGGACCTGGCAGGTACCTGCTGGAGCTGGGGACCTCTTCTCATCCCTCTGCCTCTGGTCACGCAGGTGACATCAGGAAATTGCTGAGAATCGCGGTGGACTTTTTCAGCAATCTCCTCTTCAGGTCAGGAAAATGCAGCAAATCCTCTGTGCGGCATTTCTTGCCTTCTGAAATATTTCAGGTAATGCAGGTATTTACACCTGTCGTTGAGGAATTTTTTTAAGTGAGCAGGTGGTGCTGACTTAGTGCAGGTAGTGAGCAGATAGAAGGAGATTTTTCTTATCTATGGAAAAAAATTACATACTACAGAAGTAAAAACTTCGCCTAGCTTGTTTTTTTTTTTTTTTTTTGCTTTTGGCACTGGGTATTAATATCCCAGCAAGTCATGTAGGTGTCATCTTTGATGAGTGCATGTAAATATAGGAACTTAGGTGGCAATGAGTGGATTTGGAAGTGGGAATTTACATTAACTCCTTAGAGGCTGAGGATAACTTATTTGTATTGCAGCAGATGACTACGCAGCATTTCGCACGAAAATAGTTTGGGTAGTTCTTTACCTGCAAATGTTATCTAATGGACTTCTGGTGAGAGAGAAGATTTAAGGATATACTGAACTATAAACATAAAAGAAGTCTGGAAATAAGCTGAAAATTTTAAGAAACTGAGCTTCTTCTTAAGAAAGAAAAAAAGTAGTGGATCATGCCCTGGATTTGAGACTGGAAACTAAGTGTGTTGAATTGCAAGCTGCCAACTCTATGAAACACTGTCCAGTCAGCATAAAACTATCTTAAATTATTCCTGCTATATTTTTGGGTCAGCTGCTGCTAATCATCATGTAACTTATGCACAAATGGGGCTGAGTTTGTTTAACCCTTTCAGTCTTGATTAGTCAGATGAGAAAACACACTAAGAAGTCTAGAATAACCAAGTAGGCTTTAAAAAAAGCATGCCTTGCGTGGAGCCTCTTAGGGCATTGATGCTGGGGTGGCTGAGCTCTGTGAAGGAACCTGTGAAGATGCTAGCAGGAACTGATTAGGACTAAACAGAAGGAAAATTTTGGACCTGTGATCCCTGCCACCACAAAAATCTCTTGTGCTAATGCAATGAAAACATGGCCCAAACCCACTGCGATTACTTGATCAAAGCTATTTGACCTCAAGGTTCCCACAGCAGCTTCAGCTGCGACTCCCTGTGTTTCGGTGCGGCAATGGGGCCTCTCTACCTCATCACTCTGACGTGAAGTCCTGTTCAGTAAGCACCATATAAAATGAAGCAACGGATTATTTTTTTCTGAAAAACATCTCACAATACAGAGTCTTGTGTCATCACAGGGTACATATTGTCATCTTTGCTCTCCACTGACGACTCCTCCACTCAAAAGTGGTGCCCATCGCTCCTGCATGGCAGCTTTCCCATGCTGCAGCAGCAGGACCCAGAGAAAAGGCGCTCTATGACGCCCGGCGCTTGGCAGGTATTGCTGCCAGCCTGCTGCCCCATGCCTCCCGAAGGGCTGCAGCGTTCATACGTAGGAAGGGGTGGGATGGGGTAAGGGGCTGCAAAAAGGAAAACTTGTAAAACTTTAAACTGGCTGTTTGGTTGTGTGTAGCCTTGTAGAAAAAAAACCGCTGCGGTTTCTGGTTTTTTGTTTTTTTTTTTTTTTTTTTTAAATTTAGATGAACCAACCAAGCACCCTTTGACTGGAAATACTTGGAGAAGTGAAATCATTTAAAAAGAAAAAAAAGATGATGGGTGGGGGTGTAGTGAAGTTAAATGTAAGAGTGGTCGCAGTTTTGCATCACATTTCTGCTTGAAGTACCGTTTTCCAGAATCGGTATCCAGTCATCAAACAATTCTTCAGTGTCTCCAAGCCAAGAATCTGATTTACTTTGCTATTAAATACCAGGTTGTGTATTTTGCCCAGGAGGTGGCACTGTCCGTGTAGGGTTTTGCTGTCCTCTCACCTCCCTTGTCCTGTGTCAACAAGAGCCGGCTTGTTTGTGTGCAGGGCCAGCAGGCTTTCCAGAGGTGATTCATTTCCCCATGTTGCCAGGATCCCACATTAAAATTGCTTTTAATTTCTGGGCAAATTAGAACTGATTTTGAGGTAGCCTCGTGTCCGAATGTGAACATTCAATCCTTAGAAAAGGGCAGATCAGCTCAGGCAGCTCATCAGTGACTCCCATGGCCATTTTATTACAGAAAATGAATGAAAGCAAGAGCCAAAGTGGAACACCTCATTATTTGGGGGAGTAAAGTCTCCAGATCTGGAGAACAGCAAACTTCTGCTGCTGTTCACCGAATTACTGACTTGTCTTCTTGTTTCAGTCTCTCCAAGGAACAGCAAGAGATGCAGTGAAGTTTACCATCGGCGTTGGGTACCGCCACTTTGTACCTTCCTGTACCAGAACGAGAGTGAGATCGGGGATGCACTACGAGAAAAAATTGAGGAGGGGATTGTGAGGCGAGAAGACCTCTTTATTGCCAGTAAGGTATGTCTTTGGATGACTTGTCTCACATGAGGCCAGCTCTTAGGAAGAGAGACAAGGTCCCAACCTGCAAAGTGCCAGGGGATGAAGCTGGTCTGGGAATTAACTCCTCTCTGTCAGGGCAAAGCATTTTGCGGATGGAGGGAAGGAAGAGGTCAACTCTTGGGGAAAAAAAAAAAAAAAGGCTTGATTTGAGAGGGATTTTTTTGTAGTCCATATCCATTGTCAGCCATGGAGACAGGAACTGAGGCCATGCTCTCAGTGGCCTCTGAGATAGGAAGCAGGGCTATTGTATTCGTGGTCACTCCTGCTGCGCTGCCGGCCTCAGCCTGTTAACTCCTGTATGTTATGGTTTGTTTTGTTTTTTCCCCCAACAACAATGGTAGGAAAAATAAAGTAACTTCTATCTGCTGGAAGCTGGCAGGTTGATTTTCACCAGTTTTGCTTTTTTCTTCATTTTGTTTAATTGTTGTATGAATCGTTGGAATTTTAGAGTATCTCGTTCTCATTTTACTTAACTGACAGTATTGCAAATAAAGTAAGGTGCACAAAAGTGGCACTTCCTCAAGACAAGACGATGTGCCGTATCATGAGCTGCCTCTGTGTCTGCGCCATGTGTTTCCCTGCCAGGGATGCTCTGCGGTTGTGAGGCTAGGAGAGCAGCTCCCAGGCTTTGCGTTACCCCTGCAGCTGTGGTCCGCCTTCCGCGAGAGATCCCTGGTGAAGGAGGCATGCCAGAAAACACTTGCTGCCCTCCAACTGGATTATTTGGATCTCTACCTGATGCACTGGCCCATGGGATTCAAGGTCTTGAGCCTTCAACTCCCAGGAGCCACCTGTCAGAGCTCTGCCACTTTTTCCTTTGGGACCAGACATGTCCTCTCGAATGAGGGGTGTTGTTAGACCTCATTAGGACATAATGACAAACCTCCGCATGGAGTGCCCAGGAGGAAAGGTAAGGTCATGGCTGCTTAAGCTAGGTATTGTAGTACAAAAATCACCTTATTTTACCCTGCACAGCATTTCCATGTCATGGATCAAATTACCATCCAGATCACCTTCCTCTTAAAGCCTGGGATTTGGCTATCATTTGCTTTTCCAGGATCAAACAGCTGTGAATTACTTAGTTCCTATTTTTCTCTTCTCTCTCTCCCCTCAGGTTAAATAAATCCTCGTTTCCCCATCGTGTCACATCCCTGGCCTTCCCGCAACCTGACTGAGGCACATAAAAGTGTCTGCCCCTCCTCTGCCCGCAGGACAGATTCTCAAGAAGCAGATTTTCTTGAAGATTACTCTGTTCATACAGATTACTGGTTTTGGCCATGTCTTTCCCCAAAACAAACACAGGGCAGGATATCCAGCGTGTGTCCAGCTCTACTCGCTTGTAGAATTTCTAAGTGATTTCTTTAACTACTTACTATTCAGCCTACCTTAAACTCGCTTTTTTGTTGTGATGATAGGCAGGGGAGGAGCTATTTCCTGCAGATGGAAATGGCATGATCATTCCCAGCAATACAGATTTTCTGGATACATGTGAGGTATGTTCATTGACAGGCCAAAAAATTCTTGCTAGTTTGAAGTAACAACCTGAAAACTTGAAGGTTTCTACTTTGGGAATCGTTCTGAGAGAATTTCTGATGTGAAGTATTCCAGATTGCTGATTTCTCTGTACCCTTGGGCTCCTTCTTGTGTTACTTGCCAAAATTGAGGTATTTTTATGTCTACTGCTTACTAAACTGGCTGGATGGGCATGGCAAGAGGAAATCTTTGACTGTGTGTGTACCCTGCAGTGGCTTGAGCTGACATATGCTGTCGCTTCAGACCCCACACCACTCTCTGGACGTATTTCAGTGGCTTTAGCTGTAGCCGTGCTCATCCCTAGTTGCACCTGAGCTGTCCAGACCACAGGAAAGCCAGCATGCCTGTGCTGAGGTACCCAGAGCATCCAGATTTCCCCCCTCTAGAAAATACTGGAACTTGCCCAAAGTCCTTCGCTAAAGCTGCGTGTGCAATGCAAACAGGCAAGAGCATGGGCTGTGTGGGAGACAAGACTTGGGCGCAAGTTCAAATTTCTGCTTGGCTGATGGTTTGGGCTTCCTTTCCCTCCCACCCCCACTGTGTGCTCAGCATGGCCAGGTCAAAAGAAGACAAGAGACTCACCAGAGTCAGAAGAATTTGCTGATGGTTTTTTCCTACTGTCAGATGAAGAATAAGGCACATTTTTGTTGCTCATTTCAAGGCAAAAAGTGGACATTTCAGGCTCCTGCTTGTGATAGCAACTTCAAATAAAAATGATTTCTGCTTCAGAAGAGGTGTTATCTTCTGCTCTAAAGATTATTTTCTCCTGTTTCTTTCTGCTGGAGGTGCCAATCTAATTAGGGCTGTCTAGCTGTTTTATTGTTTGCTAGTGTGAATGAAAATAGGTGGTGGGAACACAGCGCTGCTTATACTATACTGCCACTGCTAAATGGTACATCTCTCTTGGGAAATTAATCAACGTTGATGATCTGGTATCCTGCTCTAACTCTCCCAGAACAGCTCCTTGTCAAGCCGCTCTGTTCCAAATGACAAGCTTTTTATTATGGGATAATTATTTCTTAGCTGAGGAGTTATCCTAAAAAAACCTTTTTTATTTATGAGCAGAAGGTCTACCTGGGGATAATATTTCAAAATAGTTGTATTCTACTGAAGTAATAGTAGTGTAGTAATTGTTAATCTTGAATAATGCTGTTATTTGTTTGTATGATGATACATGATGAGAAAGCCCGAGTCTTTGACCACGGTCCCACCGTTCACTGTACTGTACTAACGCCACATCAGGAAAGGATCCCAGCCATGAGGATTTTTACCACTGAAATTTTTGCACAGGCAATTTTGCCATATTAAAAAAAAAAGGTCTTAATTCAATAGCAAGTCTGATTCTGTAGTGTTTCTAGGCTATGGAAGAGCTGGTGGATATGGGACTGGTGAAAGCCATTGGAGTCTCCAACTTCAACTGCAAACAGTTAGATCAGCCCCTGAGCAAACCAGGCTCAAGACACAAACCTGCAAATAATCAGGTAAATTGTTCTCAAACTCATCAGTACTGACATCACACCTGTCTGGGGTGTTGCATTCGATGCAACATCTCTGGCAGTAAAATACCTTTTATGTTAAGGCTGTGCTTTTTCATATCTGTGTGGGAATACACCTGTGTTTGGCTAAATCATGGAGCAATCAAAGATGCAGAACGTTCTGTGCCCTTACTTGTGCAGGAAGCTGCAGTCGCACAAGCCTGCGGCACCCCTGGCTTGAAAGCGCAACCTTCACCTTTCTTCTGACTGCAGCACTCAGCTCGTGTGGGCCGAGAGATGAGCTCTGAAATGGAGAATGCGGCGGGGCTTACCCATCTCCTTTCCTACAGCTCCTAAGGAAAAAGAGGCTGCATGAACAGGTAGGACCAGAGCCAGGCCACGCTGCTGGGGTGAACAGGTAGGACTGGAGGACCGGAGAGCTGGGTGCTTCAGCTGGATGTGCACAACTGGAACTTGGAGCCCACTGACAGGGGGACTGGGAGAGGTCATGAAAAATGAGGCAGGCAGCTGGAAAGAGAAACTAATGTATGAAGATTGGGCCTTGCTGGAGGCAGCGTTGGGAATAAGGGGAAAAGATCTGAAGCACTGGCTGACTCTCTTAAAAACCCTACAGCTGCAAAAAGAACAACCTTTTCAAAGCTGATGTGGGGCTTGGTAGGTCACCATAGTGATGCTAAACCTTGAAGTACCTTCTGCTTATGAAGAAATCTCATTTTTTCTTTGTAGATTGAGAGCCACCCCTACCTTCCTCAGGAAGAGCTGATGAAGTTTTGCCAATCCAAAGGGATCTCTGCCACTGCATATTGTCCCCTTGGAGTGCCCAACTGGCCGTGGTAAGAATGGTTTGTGAGACTTCTTTCTTAGACATTGATTGGAGCCAATACAGTAAACCAGTCTTGGGACGTGGATAAACCTTCACACACACAGAAACCTCTCTCACACTTACTGTGATATTCAGTCCACTAATTCATACCTGTGCTGTTTCTGGAGTTTCATATTTAGGAGAAAAAGGATCAATTGGTTAGTGAAAGATAATTCTTAACTGAGCTTGGGTGAGCTTATTAAACATGTAAGAGAACTTCTGAACTAAAAAAAAACCAAACCCAAAACAAAGCAGCACATGCTTATGAAAACAGCAACTTTGCAGTCTTGCTGAGACAAATGGATTAGGTTTTTAAATGGATGACTTGAAGAAATTTTGCTTTTACTCCAGTCTTCATGGCCTTCTCCAACCTGGGACAGGGTGTATACCAGAGCAGCTGTGCTTGTGAAGGACACGACAGCTGCCCATTCTCAAGATGAAATTTTCAGGATCTGGACAAAAGAAATTCCCAGCCTGATCCCAGGATGGACTGAAATATGTGTTTCAGTGACCTGTTATACTAGAAACTACAGGCCTCTTCTCATGTGCCAACCTGCGATAAAAGGAAAAGAATGAAAGCAGGGACTGGAGCAATGAGAAGATGGTGAATTAAAGTGTGCAAGATGATGCTTTCTTATAATTTAAAAAATATTCTTACCCTACAGTGCTTGAGGGAGAAGAGAGCAGGCCACTGAACTGCTGAAGTCTGCTTTTTATTTTCACAGGTCCAAGCCTGAAGATATTTCCTTTTTTGATGATCCCCAAATGAAGGAAATAGCACTCAAGTACAACAAAATCCCAGATCAGGTTAATACTGATCATAGTATTTTCCCTGGTTACAAGTATTTTTCCCACTCGTGCTAAAGTAACTATTTACACAGGTATTATGGAAAGCTGAGTTCTAGCTGTGTCTCATACACATCGTAATGCTTTAAAGAATATTATCTCTAACACTAGTTTTCATGATGGACAGAAGATTACCAATGGCTTTGGGCTTTAATTGGCACACTAGCCACTTCTACACACAGCATCCCTGGCCAATTCTGAACTCTTGTTCAATGCACTCCCATGCTGTCATCTCAACTTCAGAGACAGATAATGATTAAATGAGCTCATGCAATAATGAGGAAGGGTTTACTATAGTGCTTTTCCTACGTGAGACATCTCTGCTTTTATCAGTAGAGCTGTTCCATGTAACCATGTAGGCGCATATGGTTTTCAGCTTTCGGAAGACAGGCAGAACTTCTCAGCTGTAACTCCCTGTCTGTTCCTGCAGGTGCTTATCCGGCTCCACGTTCAAAGAAATGTGAGTGTAATTCCCAAATCTGTCACTCCACACCATATTGAGGAAAATTTTAAGGTAAGAGGGTACCTTACAAAATTATTCATGGTGTTAAACTTTACACAGAAAAATCCACTCTGCCAGTGGAACAAAGTACCCCTTTCATTCTTAGAACTGGCAAAACCTTTTGTCTGACAGATACCACATAGGTTACTTCTTTATGCATGCAAAAAATTACTTTAAAAGTAAGGAGCCAAGTCTCCTTCATTAGAACACATCAAGGAAGAGAGATTAACTTTTCCACCTTGCAATATAAATATGATTCAATTAGACCCCACCAGCACTGTAACTTTACGACATGTATTCATTGCATCTATTGCACGCTTCCTAGTGCTTCAACAAATACAATGCTTTTCTACTTCTGTTTTTGGTATTCTTTCTGCAAATGAACTTACACTTGTCTTTTTGCAAACTGAAGTAACCCAGCTGTTTGGGACCTTTATTCAAGTGTTTGACTTTGAATTGGCTAAAGAGGAGATGGAAGCCCTCCTTGCTTTCAAGAAGCAGTATCGTATCTGTGCATTAAGCGAGTACTTCCTCGTCCTCCACGTTTTAGCAAAATTGGATTATCATTGGCTATCCTCTTAATGGTCAGTATTTGATAGTCCCACTTAAAAATAAGAAGAGAGGGAATGTTAACCAATACCTGGGCATATCCATACCTACTGGAATCCAGCACTAGGGTTTATTAGAGCATTGCCCGTCTTCTACAGGTTGGTAGCACTGGGATTTTTGCAGGTACGTTGTGTGTTAAGATATCTTGTAATGGATACACACCAAACTGCTGTCTGAAAATCAAAATTGGCTGGGAACTCCAAAATAAATAGGTGGCATTTTTTTTCTGTTTTCTTTGGCTACTTTATGTAAGAGACAGTCAGTGTAAATAAACTCCATTTTAAGAATGAGAATTGTAAGGTTTTTTTGAAGTGAAAAGCTGTGCCTATGTATTTATGCCAACATTATTAAGACAGCATCTAGATAATAGAATGGTTAGATACAAAGATCTGAAATTTATTCTGTTTTCCAAGGTTACTCACTTATCTAGTAGCATACAGTGGAATTAGGAGTTCACAAGACAGCGGTTTAGTATCACAGGGAAGTTTAGCGATTTCAGCTAAGCAGAAGATAATGTATCTTTTGAGAACAAGGTCACTGTTACATGTGAAGGTTACAGAGCATTAACTTCCACTACCCTGTGTAAACTAAGCAGACTCACATTAGTGTTTTTAATGTAGTTCACAGTTTTAGTTCTGTAGAGCTTTTGTCAGGAGAAAAAAGCCTTTTTTTCTTAGCCTTAAGACTATATCCTTAAAGTGTTTTAATCATACTCTCTTCTCCTAGATGCAAAAATCACAAGGACTATCCTTTTTTGGAAGACTAACATAGGCATCGTCTTCACATCCTCTGGGGATCAGGACTGTATATCATTGTTTCAAGCAATTTGTAATACTTCATGTGTATTAAATCACAATATAAGTGGAATATGTATTACAAGATGGGAGAAGGTAGCTCATAGGCATTCTGAAGAGTAATCTTTGAGCGTGCATGCATTTGCTTCCCTTATTATCAACCAGTTATATCAGTCCTTTATCTGTATCTTTGCTCTGCTCTTCTTGTAGCAAAATTCTATTGTAGCAAAATATATATTCTCTTACCATTTAGTAATGATAAAGTTTAGTAAACCTGAATCTTTGGGATTTGTGAAAAGCAGTCTTTATCATAAATATAAAACCTGACAAATTTTAGAGAAATTTAGATTCTCCCAGTGGTTGTATTTTTAGACAAAAGTTCAAAACATATGCTTTCAGTTGTTAATGTAAGACAATCCATTTAACATCAGAAGATCTTTATGTGATAAGACAATATGCTGCTTGAGAGTCTTAGTTCAGTAATTTCAGCATAAGACTGAAAGCTCTTTAGAGGACACTAGTGAATTATGTTTCAGGAGCTGTTTTCTTAATGAGGTGTCCTATTTATGAACTGCTAAAACTAATAAACTGGTAGGAGATTTGTATGTTTGGTCTATTGTATCTACAAAAGTATGTAAATAATGCCTTTATCAGTAGAATGGCTGCAGTTAAGACTGCATCTCTCCCAGCAAATCTGAAGTCTGATAAAGGAGACACAGAGGAATTATTTTGTTTGGCAACTGTCTTATGTAACAAGCAGAATAGCTGGGCAGCTTCATAGAAGCCAACAGTAGATTTTCACTCTCTTGTACTGCTCCCTAGATATTGTTTGCTTGTGTTTTGACTCAAAGAATGTCACTGGATGTTGTTTTCTCTGGTAAAAAAAGTCAGTGCTACTACAGCCCATGCATCTACTGGAGTTTTAATGAGGTGTCTGTTAATCCAGACTTCTTGCTCTTTAAGTTTAACATGTGACTCAGAACTCCTGTAACTGCTTTAGGCTCTTCCAGCCCAGCAGAAGAACAATGTGGATCAGCACTGCCTGCAGAGAGGAAGGACAATTGTGTAATTAAGGTTCAGAGCTAGGATACACACTTCGTGGATATCCTTTTCCAACTGATTTTCTTTGTAGTTGAGGTTTTTAAGTCTATAAAGGAAATGATGACATATCTTTGAGCTACTTTAGACTTTTGCAACATGTTTGAATAACAGGTGCCCTAGAAATGGCAAAGCAATTCTGTCAAATGGGATTTCCTACAGCAACTCTAAGAGGTCCGAAAAGCATGTCAGCAATTGACACCAAACAGTTATAGCGCAGTGGTATGGACAGGAAGGTGCCTGTAATAGGTACTCTTTTTTTCTCCACCCCCCAAACATGCTAAATTGAAAGGGTCAGTTACAGGATACCATCATAGCCACAGTTAGAAAATGAGCTACATGGAAGGTACTCTGCTTCCAGGCATTCAGACTGTGGTCAGGTTGTCAGTCTACAGCAGTAGGAGCAATACCTGCTTAAGACTGTGGCATACAGCCTATCTTGAAATATTCTCTACTTCATAGGAATTTTCTAACAACATTCCAATTTAATCACAGCTATCAGACTTGAAGTTATTTACAGGATGTTTATAGACTGTGGCAGGCAGGAAGTTGGACTAGATGATCACAGTAGCCATATAATAGTAAAAAATTCAAAACAAGTTAGAAGCCAGAGATTGTGCATTTGTTTTAGAGACAATAGATCTTTTTCAGCTGCAGAGACCTTAGCAAAGGTAAAAGGAGAAAAATTTGGGTGATGTCAGTTACTGGGAAATAAAGCACCCTCTATTCTGCAGCAGAGCTGCAGCCACATGACATAAAGACAATGTGCCTTTCTAGCAGGCCATCACTGCCTCACAGCAATCACTGCAGCCTATGACAGCGGTAAGCCGGCTGCTATTAGCTGCTCAAGAAGCACACTTCCTAGCTTCACCATTTCACCCACCCCAACATCTACGCCACAAGGGCACTGCTATAACTGCATCTGCTACCTGTAGAGAGGGAACTACAAAGCCTGATCTCCCTTGTATTTGGTTTTGAGGATTCAAAAATATCTTCCTACCTCTTCTGTGTTTTTTTTGTAAGTTCAGACTTCACTTTACATATAACCTGCTTGCTAAGAAAACAAAAATTGTCATGACATGCTAGGGTAGAGACTTGGGCTTGTTTTACTGCTCTTGTAAATGCAGTTGACTAAAGAACAAGTGTTATGTTGGTCAGATCACTGCAACAGAAGAGAGAAAGGGACAAGCTACAACTGTCTTCTGAAGACTTCTATTTGTTCTGTCAGTGCAGGGACCTGCAGCAGAGGTATTGCCACACACTAAAAAGTGCTGGAAACTTTCTAGTCTCCAGATTCATCTGAACCCTGTGTTAATGAGCAAGCATATACTGATGGCCATTTAACCCACTCCCTTTTCTGTGGTTGTAACTAATTCAACTGCATGCTGCTATCCAGGTACATTCAGTGATAGTCTGTCTCCACCTACTTTTCAGTGGCCCATGGAGCATCTGTTAGTTACTAATCCCCAGGCTGGATCAATGTCTAACACAAGGAGCAGATATACAAAAGGCCACAGGTCTGGCACCTCATAGAGCTGAAAATACCAAGGCCATCTCTTAAAGCCAGGAGAGAACATGCTACACTACAAACAAAATGCTTCAGGAAAGACTATGAGATTCTCCCAGTGTCAGATGCAGAATAAACAGGCTCAAGTCACCATAACCAGCTCTAGGGAGCACAGTAAGTTTCCTGAAGGACTAACAGCTTCTATTTTTTCATCCCTACTTCATCAGCAGCATGATCATCAGCTTTCTGTTGGAACCACAACAAGATGTTTATATTATCCCCAAATAATTTTCAGTTTCTGTCAGCTATGTAACAGTGCTCTTAGACCAAACCTGCAGATACATCTTTCCTAGTCAGCAGTGAGATTATCCATGCCACTGGACTGAACCCAGTAAATGAAAAACACCTTAGCTTAGCATTTTGCCTTTGTATCACAACACATTGTCCCATGACTTGAGCTTTTATTGTGCAGTTCATCCATTCTGGTATAGTTAAGCCTTCGTTAGAAGTTCCAAAGGGTCTGGGTGAAAAAAAATGTTATGTCCATGTTTTAGAGGGGAAACAGGATAATGTAGGTAATGAACAATAGGTAAAATTCAAAACTCTTTGCTGATCTTTGCTGCTCAGATTTTCCATCTATTATAGTTCCAACCTCTCTCATATTGGGCTCAATATCATTCAAAACCAAACAGAATAAGAAACAAAAGAGTGAGATAGACACCTATTCCATGAACCTTTTGCATTCAATCCTGCGCAAAGAGTTCTGGTCCTTGGCTTCCTCTATATCTTAAAAAAGATTTATAGCAGACTGACTAGGATAATCAATGGCCTAGGAATAATTTCTACAGACAGCAATTAAGTAGACTAAGACTTTACTTGACTTGACACCAGTGCAGGGAGTGTGCCAGAAGTTTCTTAAATCTGGAGCAGCTTGAAAAGTGTGACTGGAAATAGACCAGTTGCTATCTCCTCCACTGTAAAAGTCAGCACTATCAAATCAATCTAGCAGCAGACAAGCCCAAAACAAATAAGAGATAGCAGTTCTTCACAAGATACGTAGGTGTGAAAAATCATTCCCTTGGAATCTAACAGATTCACAAGGTAACTGATCAAGAAAGAGTTAACTGATGGCTGTTAAACACAGAAGATCTTAAATTGCTGTCAGAATATTTAAAAAACACACACCCAACTGCATGCAATGCTCAACTTACTCATCTTCAACTTGTTTTGGCCACAGTTGGAGACAGAATGCTGCAGTAAGTAGATACTTAGTCTGATTCAGTTCAGCTGTTCTTATGAGCAGCTATCAGCTGGCTTGTAATCAGGCTTATTTAAGTTCAGAAAAGCCAGATTGTATATTCAGCTTGATTTTTTTTTTCTCCTGAGAATTTGGAAAAAAGATGTAGTTTTGCAGATGTTTGTACTAGCAGTCCTGTACCATGCACTTTAAAAAATTAAAATGCAAGAGCAACATGGCCTATGAAGAAGTTTTAAGAGTTGCTTCTCAGCTTAAATGAGCAAGGTCCTGCCAGAATAAGGTAGGGCTCTGTACTTTTTAAGTGGCCAAGGCAGAGGGAGGGATGACAAATAGTTACTGACAGAGTTTATAGATGACAAACTAGGGGAGTATTAAGTGATTAAAAAGATAAAATAGTTTGTCCCGAGTCAACTGTTCTGTGCCCCAATTAAGCAAAAGACTCCAGATTTCTAGTAGTATCTTCAACATTGTGAATACAGATTAAAAATCCAAATACAGGATTTTCTTTTCCTGTTTTGAATAACATAGTTTCCTGTGCCCTGGATTTCACAACTCTGCACAATGTTACAGTATGCACTTGTGCCAGTCTTGTGAGATCAGCAAGAAGAGAGATCCTGCCTCTTTCCCCAGAGGGAAACAAAGACCCAGTTACAGATCATCACATAAAAAGTGATTCCAGCCAGGCAGGCTTGTATATTTATGTTCCAGTATCAGAAGTCAAGCCATTTTCTCCCAAAAGCAACATCAACTGCAACCTGAAACATACTGTGCCTGTAAGACTATTTGTGGTGTCCTACCTCCAACCAGCAAGATGCTAATTCCAGCTGCTTCTTGTATTCTCCTCTGCTACCCCCAAAAATCCTCAAAAAAGGTCTCTTGCGTTCTCCAGCGAGATAACTGCCAGTTTTCTTTGTTTTCCCCATAAATCAGTTCACCATTATTCTTTGAAAATTGATCTGTTCTGTCAGAGCCATTTCCCTTTTAACATGAAAAAAAGGCCTGCTAATCTGGTATCACTTGAAGCAGTGAGAGTGCAGCTGGAAGTGAAAAAAATTTTGAGTACAAGTACTGATTCTACCAGTCCCAAGAACATGATTTTTCTGTCTCCT